TGGGATCAAGCAGCTACTAGTACCATTCAAGCTGAAGCTTCTTTAAGCGTTACAGTAAACATGTTCATACCCCAACAGTACTTTTTCCATTTTGAATCCGACTTATATATCTCTAAATTAGAGAAACACACTTAAAAATTAAGTTGACATCTTATTCCTATATCCCACATACAAAAAAAAGTAGTACACTGCCTCAAAGTCTATCCCAAACATTAAAAAAAAATAACCATCAAAAGATTTTCCTAGAAGCTTCTGCAAGTACCTCCAGGGCAGCATCTTTGTCTTTAATTAGTTGTTGCAATTTCTGTACTATTTTATCAGCAGTTGTAGAATTTTTGTCCAAATTCTGATGATACTCTAAAAGATCCTTAGATTCCTAGGATAACAGAATGCATGTCAGAATCATCAATATGTATACATTTGTATACATTTTCTTCTATTAGAAAGCATCAGGGGTTTCTTTTTGGTTACACAACAGATTAGATAAATGGCAGAAATTGTGAGATACAAATTATAAATTAACAATGTCAACTGCATGTAAAGAAAATCTTTATAAAATGTTTTATAGATTGCACTTTTCACCCACAAGTTTGTCAAAGATGTTTAAGGAGATATCCACTAAATGTTGGAAATGTAATCAGATACGTGGTTCATATGTATCATATGTGGTGGGCATGCCCAAAAGCAAAAAATTAAATTAAAAAAATGGACAAAAATACACACATGGTTGGAAAAAATGATAAAAACAACATATAGATTTAAAACCAGAAATATTTCTGTTGGGCATTTTATTGAATAAGTATAACAAGGGGAATACATATTTGATTCTACATATATTAACTGCAGCTAGAATTGTATTTGCACAACAATGGAAAAGAGATCTCTACAGATGAAAATGTGATACTAGAATGTGCAGAAATGGATAGACTAACACAATTAAGGAAAAGGAAGAAACTGAATACTCTTTGACATGGGACTTATTTTATCAATGGTTAGCTAATAAAAACACAAGTTAGAAACATGTAAATGAAAGAAAAGGACTAATGATTATAAGGAAGGTTTGTTAAAATGGATAAGCAACGATAATTATTGTTATTATTATAGAACTAAAACCAATGTAATGAATACTGTTGTAAACATTTTGATTATTATTTCCTAAAATTATTTGTACCCAGATAACACACAGTTTAACTAAAAATGGAATTTTATATGTTATAAAATAAAATAAAATTGTGTGTGTGTGTGTGTATCTACTGATATCAGGAGTATCTACTGATTTTCATATAGTCTTTTCAGGACTTAATATATTTTCCATAAGGTGTAACACAAAATTTGTATTTTCACTATAAAGTAAAAGTAAAGTAAAACAAACAGCTATTTTTACTGTTAACAGTTTCAATTTGTAAGTGATTGAAATGTTTTGCTAGTTTTACATATTTCTGTGGATAATTAGGGAATCTCCATTTTAAAAAGATACATACACATTTCTTAATGAAACAAATAATTTTATATGTTTGGCTATACTTGTCAAAATACAATGGAAAATTCAGTTCTTCCCATTTCCCCATTTTTAGAGTACTTCAAACTTCCATTTCAGGTTAACAACCCTAACAGAGTAATTAGATATTAGCACATTACTCCTATCTCTAATTATAATTTGTAAATAAGATAAAAAGCACTGCTCCTAATGCACATTATTAAGGAATGCCTTCAAAATGTGAATTTTTTATTCTCTTGAAAGAAGTACCATTCTCTAAGGTAAGCTTACTTGATCACTATAATTTTGATAACTACAATTTTTTTTAAAGTCCTATCAAACTATGTTTACTACATACTTGATCTCTTCAAAAATTCTTAACACTGTATAAGAAAGAGTACAAACTTTATACAAGCCAAATGATTGTTTTAATAAAGTAAATAATAAAATATATTATCTTGATAATGCTTTTCATCATGTTACTTGCCAATCTGTGGCTGAACTGAAGCTAAATTCTCTTTTATGATAAATATTGCTGTTTATCATATTCCAGTACCTGATACAGAGGCCAAGCTATAGTTAGTATGTATGTATATGTATATGTATATGTGTATACACACACACACACACACACACACACATATATATATAGGGGGGGGGAAATATATATACATTTGTTTTCTTAAGTTTTCGCGGGTACTTACATGTATGGTATTCAGCTTTGTTCGGGTATTTTCCCACGTCATTATAGTTGTGCTTTTAAAGTTGTAGCAACATTTCGGCAGAATTTTATCTGCCAACATCAGGCTTCTGTATTGTGTTCGTCTGTGAGTCAGACTTTCACAGCCGTTTCTGTTTTAAATTTGGGGCTAGCCTACTGCTGTGCCAGAATGGTTTTTTCTTCATCCTGATTGGTTGGGAGTCTTGGTCTGTGTTTATTGGTCTTGGAGTTTGCTGTGTTCTGCTTGATTGGTGTTTCTAATATCTTCTGTCTGCTTTGTGGCTTTTTTTGTGTCTTGATTGGCTGGCAACATTGTGTTGGAGGATTTTAGTGCAGCTTGGCTCCGAGTAAATGGACATACATACATATGTATGTACACATACATACATACATACATACAGTATTCAGCTTTGTTCAGGTATTTTCCATGTCATTATAGTTGTGCTTTTAAAGTTGTAGCAACGTTTCGGCAGAATCTCATATGCCATCATCAGGCTGGTGCTTTCCACTTCGTGCCAGCATAAGCAGTGTGTGATTGGAGCTGCCATCTTTCTATAAATACTGGTGGGGGGGGGCGGGGCTGGTGTGCTGAGCTGGTGCCTCTTGATTGGTTGATGGAGTTGATGTTGGTATAATGGGCTGTGTGATGGCCTTGTGAGTTTTGTTGTGGAGATATCCTGGATCTTGTGCTGTAATCTACTGGGTCGTTTGTTTTGTAGTGATCTTTTTTCCATTAGCCTCCTGTGTTTTAACAGCTTGGGTAATGGGTTGTGTGATGGGCTTGCGAGTTCTTTTGTTGTGGTATTCTGGGTCCTGAGTTGTAATCTCCTGGGTCGTTTGTTTTTTGATCTCTTTTCCATTAGCTTCCTGTGTTGTGACGGCTTGGGTAATGGGTTGTGTGATGACCTTGTGAGTTTTATTGCTGTGGTATCCTTGGTCTTGTGCTGTGATTTCCTGGGTCGTTTGCTGTGTTGCAACTTCTTGAGTTCTTGTGGTGTAATTTCCTGAGTTTTCTGATGTGATATCCTAAGCGGGTGGCTGTGATGTGGCATTCTGGGTTTTGGTCTGGCTTCGAGTTTGGGGTCTGGATCGTTGCACCCCCAGACCCCAAAACCAAACAAGCTGACACACGTCAAGAACACAGACCCAGACCCCAAACTCGAAGCCAGACCAAAACCTGGAAAGTTCTTCTCTTATAGCAAAAAAAAAGCAGCTTTAAAAGTGATTTAGGGAAGATATTCTTCAGGAGAATAGCAAATCCACAAAATACGCTCTAGGGCATTTATTGATTATAGTTTTTAATTATTAAAACTTTTTGGCCTCTTTTCTTCTGCCACTTTAAGCTCCTAGAATGGCTTTAAAAGCCCATCCCTGTCTTCTTACCTGTAGAAGCCATTCTTTGCAGGCTAAACTGTATGTCAAATCCTTAATTTTCTGGTCTTGTCTGTGCATCCTCAAATATGTTCCTTTTTCTAAAGTACAACATTGCATGCTCTTGTTCTGTAGTGTTCTGTAGTGCTGAAGAGTAGCAAAGAATTCCTGAAAGAAACAAAATCCCGCTAGCTTTGAAGCAAATTAGGAAAAGAAAGCCCTTCATGTGTCAAATAACAGAAAAATTGAGTTTGGTTAGGGGATGATACATTTAATTAGAAAACTACTTGCCTGTTTCTTATTCTAGTCATAAGAGGAATTAATTCCCGCGAAAGGGAATTCAAACTTGTACACATCATGCACAGTGGCCTTTTTTCAGGATAAATTAAAACCATCCTTGAGAGTCAGAAATGCCCCTAACCCATTGGATAATATTAGTTTCAACCAATAATTTAAACATGGCTAAGTTATAACTGAATAAATGACCTGAGCAAGAAAACAGTGAAACACAGTTTGATGTGATAATGTTTTCATAAATGTAGACTGCCTTGCCATCTCCTGAAGATGAAATTTCTCACTGGTTTAAGGTAGTGACTAGAAATAAAAGTTAAACAAAAAATGGTAAGAGAACACCTATCTGATCTTGATGAATACAAATCACTGGGACCTGATGGATTACATCCCAGAGTTCTAAAGGAGCTGGCAGATGTCATCTCAGAACCATTGTACCACATCTTTCAAAAATCCTGGAGCACCAGAGAACTACCAAAGGACTGGAAAAGAGCTGACGTGGTTCCCATCTTCAAAAAAGGAGGAAAAAAACAGACCCAGGAAACTACAGACTAATCAGCCTAACATCAATACCTGGGAAGGTACTGGAAAATATAATAATAATGATAATGATAAAAAACCAGGTCTGCCAACATCTAGAAACAAGTAAAGTAATAACTAGAAGTCAACATGGGCTTTTAAAAACAAATCATGCCAAAACCAATCTTATTTCATTCTTCAACATAGTGACTACATTAGTAGACCGGTGAAATACTGTAGACATACTGTAATAGACTTCAGCAAGGCATTCAACAAAGTAGACCACAACCTACTTCTTGGTAAGCTAGAAAAAAAGTAGAATAGATAGCATCACCATCAGATGGATGGTGAGACGGATAGCATCACCATCAGATGGATGGTGAGACGGATAGCATCACCATAAGATGAGTTTGTAACTTGCTGACAAACTGTACTCAATGAGTAGTCCTTAACGGTACTTCGGTAATGGAGTAAGCAGTGGGGTACCACAAGGTTCCGTCTTAGGCCCAGTACTCTTCAACATCTTCATAAATGACTTAGATGAGGGAGCAAAAGGGGAACTTACCAAATTTGTGGATGATACTAAGCTGGTAGGAATAGCTAACACCCTACAAGTGGCACGCAAAGCCATCTCTCTGGGCACATGGAGCCGTCACCCGTTGCTCTTCCGGGTTCCGGCGTGTCGGCCAGCTGGTCTTTCATGTGCTGGGAAGATGATCTTTTGATTTCCAGCATGCGCATGCATGGCAGCCATCTAGTCTTTCAGTGTCTGGCACGCATGCACGTGCAAAGACAAGCTGGCCGAAGGGCATGCATGAGCTGGAACCTAGAACAACAGGAGACGGCACGTGTGCCCAAAGACATGGAGAGGGGATCCCAGCGGTCGCTTTCTAAGGGAGTAGAGCTGTTGGCCTGGAGGGGCGGGCCAGGGCTTTCATCCCTCCCTGCCCGAGCAGGCTTCTTGCACAGCCCCAGCCCTCCAACCTATGGCACCGATGAGCATCCATGGCCTGAAGTATCTGGTTGGCTCGGGCACTACAGAAGAGCAGCAGTGGCGGCGGCAGCAGGGCAAGGGGCAGGAGTGACTGGCCAGTCCTCCTGGGGCAGCTTGCCTCCCTGACAATGGCTCCTCTTCCTCTAGCATCCCAGCCGGAAGGGGCAGCACAAGAACCACCACCGCCCCTTGCCCCCGGCTGGCCGCAGAGCACGTAGCTCTGGGTGCCACTGCTCCAAGGTGCGCTGTCGGTGCCTCATGGGTTAATTAGTGCACATCCCTTCACCCCTCCCCCCAAGCTCCTTATGCTCCCTCCTGCACCCTGGACTGAGCTGAAATGGGCAAAGGAGGCTGGGTTGATCCGTGCCACCTGACAACCCTGGGAAACCAAGCCGCCCCTTGCCACCCACCTCATGCACTACTGGTGGAAAGGCGGGTCATTCAGCACTGGGGAAAGAACCGAGCCGCCCAGAGTGGGGAGAGCGCTGAGCCGGCCAGCTGAACCAGGGGCCCACCAGCCGCCACTACCGCTGAGCCAGGAACTACATGGCATGAGGGATGCCTGAACTGTGCTTTGCAAAGTGGGGTTCATCTGCAGTCCTGGCCGGCTCCTGTCACTGCTGGGGGGAGGGGGCGGTGATGGTTCTCACACTGCCCCAGAAGGGCTGGAGGAGAGTGCAGCTCCTCACACATGGAGACCAGGTGGATGGGGTACGCGCTGGAAACTGGGTGCTCTTCTGGTTTCCGGCACATGGGCTTGCGCGCACTCCCATTTTGGCACGCAGTGCCAAAAAGGTTTGCCAACACTGCCCTAGATGATAGGCTCAAGATCTAGATGGATCTTGACAGACTTGAACACTGGGTCCTATTTAACAAAATGAAATTCAATGTAGAGAAAACTAAAGTCTTACATTTAGGCAAGAAAAACCAAAAGTACAAATATAGACTGGCTGAAACCAAACTTAATAGCACTAACAGTGAGAGAGATCTTGGAGTCTTAGTGGACAACCAATTAAATATGAGCCAACAGTGTGCAGTGGCAGCCAAAAAAGCCAATGCGATCCTAAGCTGCATTAATAGAGGGATACAATCAAGATTAAGTGAGGTACTATTACCACTCTATAAAGCATTAGCCCACACCTAGAGTACTGCATGCTGGTTTGGTCACCACATTATAAAAAAGATGTTGAAACTCTAGAAAGAGTGCAAAGAAGAGCAACCAAGAGGAGGCTAAAACATATGATGAACGGTTGCAGGAATTGGGCATGGCTAGTCTAGTGAAGAGAAGGACAAGGGGAAACATAATAGTAGTGTTTCAATAACTGAGGGGCTGCCACAGAGAGGTGGGGGTCAAGCTATTTTCCAAAGCACCTGAAGGCCAGACAAGGAATAATGGATGGAAACTGATCAAGGAGAGATTCAACCTGGAAATAAGGAGAAATTTTCTCACAGTGAGAGCAATCAACCAGTGGAACAGTTTGCCTTTGGAAGTTGTGTGAGCTTCATTACTGGAAGGTTTCAAAAACAGACTAGACTGACATCTGTAAAAAATGGTGTAGAGTCTGCTTGGGTGAGGGATTGGACTAGATCAGGGGTCACCAGCCTTTTGGAGCTCAGGGACCACCAAACTCATAATTTTAAATCCCGGGGACCACTAATATGAATTTTGAGTGACAGTGGCTTGCTGACATTGGTGGGAGAGAGAGAGATATATATATCTGATCTAATTTTTCTCTCTCTCTCTGTCTCTCTCTCTCTCTCTCACACACACACAAACACACAGAGACAGGGGTGGGATTCAAATTTCTTAACAACCGGTTCTGTGGGCGTGGCCTAATTTGGTGGTCATGTGACTGGGTGGGCATGGCTTATAAAAATTTATGTAAATATTGATTTTTTTATTAAAAAAATCAACTTTTACCCAAAATCAGGCAAAGCAGGCAGGCAGATTGAGTTGCTCACAGATTCATTCAGAGATCTACCGTATATGCCGGCGTATAAGACGACCCGGCGTATAAGACGACCCCCCAACATTTCCACTCAAAATATAGTTTGTTATATACTCGCCCCCTCTTCCGCACGCCTTCCACTTTTGCACTTGTTTTTTTTTTTGAGGCACTTTTGCGCACCGTGGAAACGAATCCCGTGAAGCTGAAAGGAGCAGCCAGCCTTCTCCCAGCTCCCAAGGAAACGAGGCTCGCACCGCCCGGGCTCCGCTGAGGTATCCGGCTGGGGCTGTCAGGAGTTGTTACCGCTGGCGCGGCTCCGCGCGGCTCCAGTCCCGCGTTGCCTCGGGAAGGGAAAAACAAAAAGGAAGAGCCGCGGCGGCGCTTTGCAATGGCAGCAGCGGCTCCTGGTTTTGCCTTTCCCTTCCCGAGGCAACACAGGACTGGAGCCGCGCAGAGCCGCGCCAGCGGTAACAACTCCTGCCAGCCCCAGCCGGATACCTCAGCGGAGCTCGGGCGGTGCGAGCCTCGTTTCCTTGGGAGCTGGGAGAAGGCTGGCTGCTCCTTTCGGCTTCACGGGATTCGTTTCCACGGTGCGCAAAAGTGCCTCAGCCACGGGCAGCCGCAGTGCTTCCCAATTACTATTTGCCGGCGTATAAGACGACCCGGCATATAAGACGACCCCCCCAATTGGAGGCATGTTTTTCAGGGCAAAAAAGTCATCTTATATGCCGGCAAATACGGTATCTATCTGCCATCGACTACCTGAGTCTGTCACATAAAATTTGCTGGCAAGCAAACTCATAAAATTTGCTAGTAAGCAAACTCACAAAATTAACTCACAACACACCATGTATGTAAATATTGAATTTTTTATTAAAAAAGAACAACTTTTACCCAAAATCAGGCAAAGCAGGCAGGCAGATTGAGTTGCTCACAGAATCATTCAGAGATTTATCTATCTGCCATTGGCTACCTGAGTCTGTCACATAAAATTTGCTTGCAGTGAGTCTGCACTGAATAATAGAAGCTTCAGTCTTAAGGAAGATCTAAAGACTAGCTAGAAAACAAGAAATCCGATGATTTCCTGCTTTCTAGCTAATCTAAATCTCCCGACACAGCAGAACAGCTGATGGTCAGGAAAAAGCAAGTTTGCCAGGTAAGGAGTGAATGGGCGGGGAGGGTTCCCACGGGCCATGTGGGTGGCTGTGCAGCCTGGATTAATTGCTTTGGGGGGGTGCTCTGGGGGTGACATTTCTCTGTGGACCACCAAAATTTTCTCGTGGACCACTGTTCCCTTCAACCTCTGTTAATCTAATCTAATCTAATCTAATCTAATCTAATCTAATCAAAGCTATCAACAAGATAACTGGACTGATTTACTGCCTTTTGCTGAAGTGGCGTATAATAATTATGTGCATAGTAGCATGGAATTTACTCTTTTTAGCATGGCCACAAGACAGAAGTTCATCCAATGCCTGAATGACCCTCCCACCCCCCGTTTCTTTGTTAAAGGAGTGGGTATCCCAACTGTGAAATATATGGCTGGTGGTGAGGAAAGCCCTGGCAGAAGCACAAGATCTAAGCTTCCACCACTCCCTGAGCCATTAATGATAGAAGGGGAACAGCATTTTGAAATCCGAGATTCTGGATTCCCATAAGCATAGGGGAAACTTTCAATATTTAGTGGCCTAGAAGGATTTCCCACAATCCCAGAATGGGTGGGTGGACCACTGTCATATTAGGGCTCCTAAGCTTTTAAAGCACTTCCACAATCAATACTGACAAACCTAATGAATTCTCCTGCTTTATCCTTCTTCTTTCCCTGTTTATTGCTAAAGTTAATTGGTCAAAAATCATACCTTATTATGTCTCCAAGCTGCTTCTTTTTGTAGCTGTTCTTCTTGCAATGCTGTCTCTAGAAAGTGGTTGGTCCTTTTAGCTTCAGCCAACTGCCGATCCTTTTGCTGCGTGGCATATTTCAATTGCTGCATTTCCAACTGAGTGAAGAAAAGAGCATTCTGTACATCAAGAAATGCTATCTTTTGTTTCTGTTGTAATGAAGAACAGCCCTCTAAGTTCTAAAAAGATTCAAAAATAAGAAACAGAACAGAGGCAGTTTAGGCAATCATTGGTCATTAAAATGCAGACATGATCATAGGTTTTATGCATTTTGAGTTATATCATAGGACATCAGAGATGATTGCATTCATTGACTTATGATGATAATTGGGATTGGAACATCTGTTGCTAAGTAATGCAATCATTAAGTTGCAAAGCATTGTGATCATTAAGTGAGTCATGCATGATTTTTACTTTTGCTGCTGTAGTCATTAAGCAAATTACTCCCACTGACTGCTTATCAGAAGTCCCCAAGTGAATGTGGGATGCTGCAACTATCATACATTTATGCTGGTTGCCAGGCACACAAATTTTGCTCACATAATCAGAGGGATGCTTCAATAAACATGTGTTATGGATTCCTGAAGAATTAATCAAGGGAGAGTGGTACCTTGTGACAAAGAAGAGAAAATTGTTGAATGTCTTACATGTAAGCAGAAGATGTGGCTTTATGCCCAGACATAAATAACTAGTGGTGACCTTGAAGCTGAGAATTTATCAGCTGAATAAGACACAGCTGGTAAATAGAGAGAATAAGGCATTTCACTGTTTATTATTTGGTAGGATTTATTGTTTGGACTAGTTAAAGCCAATGGGCTATTGTGGATTACAAACATCAATTGACTTGGATTTATTGATTGGGGTAGTTTGGAAGTTCGGAGTTTGGATTACAAACATCAGTTGAACTGCAACTCTGATTGAGAGGGGTGGATTAAAATCCTTACTTTGCTTTGGTAGATTCAAATACTGGATTATTGGAACTGGTTAGATTATAAAGCCTATAGACAAAGGAAAGAGTATAAACTGTATATTTAAAAGTTGTAAGATTTAAACTGTTATTTAAAAGTTCTGTAATTTAAACCGCTTTTTGATAATTTGAATAATTTTGGCAATATTAGACAACATCAACATATTACTACCGTGTTTCTCCAACAATACGGCCTCCACCAATAGGAAGGCCCAGCATGTTTTTTGGGCATAAAATCAAATTAAGCCCCTCCCCCCAAATTTAGGCCTATTTTAAAATATGCAAAATAAGGGGGAAGGGCGGGGAGACTGTTAAGCCTGGATTCCCCAACAGGTGTTAAGGAAAACAAACTAAACAGAACGTGCAGCGAAGTCAGATAGGAAGACAGGTAAATGTGTGAGATAAGCCTTCTTGTTAACACGCAGTAAAAATACAGATACGCTTGTGCTATCAAAATTATAATTTATTCCATTTAAGAATTATAGCATAGTCATGTAAACAGTCCAGTAGTCATATATCAATTTCAGTCAAGTCTTGTCAGGGATACTCTATTTGCAAAGTCCGTGTTGAATAGCCAATGTCAGTACACTTACAATAAATCAGTCCAATCTTCTCTCCGTTGAGAAATATCAACACACTTCTTCACTCCCCGTTTCAGCAAGAATGCAGTCTTCAATAAGCCAGCCAGTAAGAGCCAGAGAGTGCCTTGCTGCTTATATAGTACTTTTACAGCTGCACCCTTAATTACATTCCTTTAGCTTAAAGTCACATACACTTTATCTGACAAACCATGATTCATCATTTTATTATCTTTACCCAAAACAGTTAGGGTAAAACAATGTTATCCCTAACAGAGACTTGCCGTTAGGAGCGCCCGGCGGGCCGGAATTCCTCGCCACCAGCCGCTCCTAACGGGCGATCATGGCCAAGCACAGAGAGCTCCCTACTCCCACCTTTGCTGCAGACACCTTTGGCACCCGCCACTGTTGCTTTCCCTTCTGCCCATTACGCCGCCACGTTTGGAGCTGCCGCTTCCGTGTTTGGAGTGCGGTCGCCATTTGGAGCTCCAAACGCGGAAGTGGCAGCTCCAAACATGACGGCGGGCGATCTTTTTATTTTGGTCCTCGCGAAGTTCAAAGCGAGCAAGAGAGGGAGACTGCGATGCCTCCATCCGAGATGGCAACCTCACTAGTGGATCACAACGTGGCTGGAAGCCCGAATCGGCGGGATACGATGGCGATCTTTTTGGAGTGAGAGGAAAGGGAGAGAAGAGTTGCGAGGAGTAATTTGCAGGAGGAAGTGGGTGTACCCCACGGCAGGGAGCCCAAGGAAGAAGGGCTGGTAGGCAACGGAGAGCGTCCTGTAGCTCCGGAAGCACCCTAGAGACACGCCCGGGAAGAGGCGCAGATGCTGCCTTGTAGTCCCCAAGCCAACTGCGTGCGCCGCCTTTAGTTATGTGCGCTCCGCGCTTTGGGCATCTCCGTGTGATCGCGACCCTGTCCTTTCCACCTGGCGCCCTTGCTGCTTTCTGGCTCTTTAGCAACCGGCTTCGTGTTTGGAGCACTGCCGCTGTTTGGAGCTCCAAACGGCGGCGGAAGCTCCAAATGCGGAAGCTCCAAACATGACGGTGGGTGATCTTTTTATTTTGGTCCGCGCGAAGTTCAGAGCGAGCATGAGAGGGAGACCGCGATGCCTTGCTAAAGAGCCATATATACTTCAACACAATTTTATTTAAATCTTCAAAATAATCTTTGCCAAGCCTAATTGGTATTGTTTGGAACAAATATAAAATTCTGGGTAAAATATTCATCTTGATTGTTGAAATTCTGCCTATTAATGACAGTTGTAGGTTTTCCCATTTCTTCAGATCAAATGCTATCTGCTGTTTGAGTTTAATATAATTATTCTCTTTCAATGTAGTACACCTTGACATCAAATATATCCCCAAATACTTAACCTTGTTCGTGACTTGAATTTTCAATAGGTCTGCCAGTTCTTCTCTTTGTCTTAATAACATGTTCTTTGTCAGAATCTTTGTTTTATCTTTATTTATTTTCAAACCAGCCATCTCACCGTACATCTCTATCTTTTCCAATAGTTTTAAAGCTGTCTCTAGAGGATCTTCCAAAATGAAAACCAAATCATCCGCAAAGGCTTGTAGTTTAAATTCCTCCTTTATGATTTTCATTCCTTTTATATTTTGGTCCTCTCTAATATTTCTATTCAACACTTCCAAAGTCAATACAAATAGCAAAGGTGATAATGGGCATCCTTGTCTTGTGCCTTTTCTTATGTTAATAGAGTCTGTGAGTTCTCCCTCTATCATTACTTTTGCCGTTTGCTTATAGTATATAGCTTCAATTGCTTGAATAAATTTTCTGGCAAAACCCATCTGTTCCAGTAGTAG